TAAAAATAAAGCAAATAAGGTTTGATTATCCCTTAAGATTTTGCTGATAAGTAAAACAAAACCAAAAATCTATAATTACGAGGAGAGGGCGGGGGGGGGGGGGGGAGTAGATTTTATGCAATACTGGTTGTGATAAGAATTATGGAATGCATAATGCAGGAGGGAGCAAAAGAAGTTAGATAGCTAGATAGATATATAAACAGACATACATATACATGCATACATATGTATATGTATATATATATAGAGAGAGAGAGGGAGAGAGAGAGAGATAAAGAGATAGAGATGAGAGTGAATGAGAAAAAGAGAGAAAGAACGAGAGACACAGGAGAAAAAAAAAAAAAAAAAAAAAAAAAAAAAAACACTCTCTTCCCCTTTTTTCTCTAACCCGCTATTCATCACCCTCCCTTCTTCTCCCCCCCCTCCCCCCCACAGGCGAGCCCCTCCCGAACGTCACCTGGTGGTCGGGCTCTACACCTCTCGACCTCGAAGCGGAGGAACGCCAGCTCACTTCTCTCGTGACGGCGACGCCCACTTCCCTCACGGCGCCCTACGTCACCAACACTTTACACCTGCCGTCGGTCACGCGCGCCCACCTCACGCAGAACCTGACGTGTAGGGCGGCCAACACGCCCGTGCTCCCGCCCCTCTCGGCCTCGGTGCTGCTCAAACAAATAGGTGAGTTGTTTTCGAATTATTATGATTATTAGTAATCTTATCTTTTAGGATCATCATCGTCGTTATTACCGTTATTATCATTATTTTCGTCGAGTTCATTATGATTAATGTGTTTATCATCACCATCATTACCATCACCATCATTATCATCATCATCATCATCATCATCATTATCACCATCATCATCATCATCATTATCATTATCATCATCATCATCATCATTATCACCATCACCATCACCATCATCATCATCATTATCACCATCATCATCATCATCATCATTATCATTATCATCATCATCATTATCACCATCACCATCATCATCATCATTATCATCATCATCATCACTATCATCATCAACCTTGCTCTCTTCACATCATTGAATTTGTTTCTTATTCAGCAAATGGATTAACCCCCCCCCCTTCCCACATCCCCTTAGCCCCCCCCCCGCCTCCTCCCTCATACTCCTCACACCCTTCAGCCTCCTCCCCCCCCTACCCCCTCCCCTTCCCCCCCCCACTCCTCTTCCCCTCCTTCCCAGCCCCCTTCCCCTGGTTCTCTCCCCTCTACTACCCCCCTCCTCTTTCTTCGTCTTGCCCCTCCTCTCTCCTCCTTTCTCCTTCCTTATCTCCCTTTCCCTTTCCTACCTCCCCCTGCCTTACCCACTCCTCCTACCCCTCACCCCCCCCCTAATTCATCCATGCTACTCCCCCCCCATCCTCTCACTCTCTCCCTCCTCTCTCTTCACCCTCCTCATACTCTCTCTTTTATTCCCCCTTCCCTATCTACTCATCCTTCCCCTCCCCCCCTCCTTACCCTCTCTCCATTCTCCCTCATCCTCCCCCTCCTTCCCTCCTCCCTCTATTCCCCACACATCCTCTCCTTCCCTCTTCCCTCCACCTATCCACCCACCCCTTCCTTTCTTCCACCCTCCATCTCTCCTCCCCCTCCCCCCCCCTCCATCTCTCCTCCCCCTTCCCCCCCCTTCATCTCTCCCCCCCTCTTTCCCTTCCCATTCCCACCCTCTCCATTTCTCTCCCCCCCTCCTTATCCCCCATTTCTTCACACGCCTCCTTCCCCCTCAGTTTCTCTCCCCTCCTCCACCCCCTCTTCCCCCCCTCCCTCCTTCTCCTCCTTCCCTCCTCTACCCCCCCTCCTTCCCCCTCACCCTCTACCCCACTCCCCTCCCCTCCTTCCCTCCCCTACCCCCCTCCTTCCCCCTCCCCCCTCTACCCCACTCCCCTCCCCCTCTCCCCACTCCCTTCCCCTCCTTCCCTCCCCTACCCCCTACCCCTTCCCTTCACCCTCTACCCCACTTCCCCCCCCTCCTTCCCCCTCACCCTCTACTCTACCCCCCCTTCTCCCTTTACCCCACTCACCTTTCCTCTCCCCCCCCCTTCTCCCTCTCCATCACGCCAACGAAGGTGCTTTTTTCCCTTTACTACAAAATCGATGGAAGTTTATGATGCAAGATACGTAATCCGGAGGCGATATTTACTGTTGAACCTGAACCACGAGAGTTTATATTTCTTGGGGTGTGAGTCATGACCTTGAACCTTGACCTTGGGTGTGTGTGGGGGGGGGAGGGGAGGGGGGAGGGTCAGGAGAGGTTTCCATTGTACTGTTATTATTGTTCTCATTATTGTTGTTACCGATATTTCTGTTATTGTGTTTTTTTTTATAATTGATTCTATCGTTACCATTATTTTAAGAAATATATTATTGTTATCATGATAATCATTATCAATATCTTATCACCATCATTAGTATCATTATCATCATTAAATCTATCCTTGTTTGTTATTATCATTTATCATTATTT